GTGGATAAAGAGGTTTGTTATTAGTATGCAAGACATGCACAAAGTGCTCTGAAATCAAATTATGAGTAGGTGGCTAAGTACTTGGGTTATTTATACTGTATCTTCAGAGATATACTACGTATTGACTGTGATGACCCATCAGCTCCAGCTGAAGCGTTCAGCCCCAGAGTTTGATTCGTTGCTCATTCATTTTGGTTTTAAAATAGCCTTCATTCTGATCCTTGATGAAGCTAATGAGCAGTGCTTATGTACAGTATCCCAGAAGCAGTTAATAACACAGTACCTAATTGCTGGGAAGAAGCATTTTTTTTAATGAGAATATTGCTATTCCAAGCCATGATTAATCAGTTAAAATCAGCAAAGTGCTGTTTACATAGCTCCTTCAGTATAAATATTATGTAGTGGGCTGTTGATGGCATCTCTAAATATTCAGGAACAAGTGGAGAAGATTTCGGGACCTGAGCACTTATTCAAACATTGACTGAACTGCCACTACATCTGAAGAGATCATTTACTTTTGCCTTTACCAAAACTGAAAGTTGAGAAAAATTTAAAAATATGATGCTTTCTCCTTGGTCTCTTCAGTAGGAGTTTGACAGTGCCCAAGCACATCTATATTTTCTGGCAATAATTAAAAACAGACCATTGAGTGTATAGTTTGGGGAAGAAAAGAGTTGCCCGCCCATTGGGTCTCTTGTAGCTCAGGGGAAGCTAGAGGGGCAGAGCTGCTGCTCTACAGTTGTTTTGGTTTTTTTCTGTGATTTAGATAGGATATGGAGAGCAGGTTGGGGGTTGGAGAGAGTGGTCACAGGAACCCTACGACAGGTTGCACAGGTAGCCGTCTAGCCGGATCTTGAATATCTCCATAGGAGGAATGTCCACAACCTCTCTGGGCAACCTGTTCCAGTGCTTCATCATCCTTACCATAAAGAAATTCTTCTGTATGCTGGTACAGAACTTTCTGTGTTCAAGTTTTTGGCCACTACTCCTTATCCTAACACTACACACCACTGAGAAAGATTTTGCCTTTTAATTTGGACAGATACATCAACATTTTCCATGCTGTTTACAAGTTCTTTCCATCCAGCATTGATGGCTACACGTTTGTGTGGCAGGAAGCTGGAGCTTAAAACAAACACAGCTCTTTGATGGTGTCTGCTCTGGTCAGCTGGCATGAAGCTCACTGTGCTGGGTGTGGGGAGAAGGGGAAAATTCATTTGAGATTGGTGTGGGTTTTCAATACTAGTTTTTATGGTAGCACAAATGGATGCATGGAGAACAAAACATAATCTGTGCTCTGAAGGCACTTTTGTCTATTTCAGCTGAAATTTGTATAAATTTTTGAAAGGTGAACTATAAAAATTGGGGCAGGTATCTTAAGTCTTCATTAACTGTGAATATAGGACACGTCAACTTTGCACTCCACAAAACTATCACTCTATGTTGTTTTTGAGCATAAAAGCTTCACAGAAATGCAATGAAAGGAACTGTTTATCACTGTTTTATTTGTAATTTAAGTACAATTTAATCTTAATAAATCAAAGAATCACCAAGGTTGAAAAGACCTTCAAGATCATCCAGCCCAAACATCCACCTGCCACCAATATTTCCCCACTAAAGCATGTCCCTCAGTACAACATCAAACACTTCTTGAACACCTCCAGGGCGGTGACTACACCACCTTCCTGGGCAGTGCGTTCCAGCATCTGACCAAAATATCCATACACTGAAAGCTGTCTCCTTGGTCTGTGGGGATAACACTCTCTCTGGTCATTAGGTTTATCTTCTCTTGTCCTTCTCCCACCTCTGAGTCTTAGCTTGAAAGATGAGATTTTATTTTCCACTGACGATGTCCATTTCTTCTTCATCTTTTCAGGGCAGGCAAGTGTAAAAAAAGATAATACCCAGAACAAAGTGCTGAATGCAATAGCTCTGATCAGAAAAATGTTTCCATTTAGAAAAAGTGTTCAACTGTATTCTAATGCTCAATGAGACTTCAGTGAGAAAGATGTAGTGGTGTGTTTCCACACTAAGAAAACAATTCCAATCAATTTGCATGCTTAATCCTTGCCAATAGAGGAAGAAGGTCTGGGTTCCCTGATGACTGAGAATGATGAATATGCAGAGCTGGTGTGGTAATCTTTTAAGTGATGGGCTTTTCTGAAGCCTCAATAAAATATTTAGTAGGGAAGATCTTCCTATGTATACACCACAGACTCTTTGAAATATGGAACGCCTTGAAATAAAGTGCAATTAGCAACTGTAAATATAGGACTGCAAAAAAAAAGGAGTAAGCACTTTTCAGGAAAAAGAAAGTTTGAAAAAGTAATAAATTGCCTTAAATTCTAAAAAAAGTTTCATCAATAATGGGAAAGGTACCAGAAAGTTTCTGTGACTCAGTATTGATTTTTATGCCTCCTTCGAAAGGCACTTGCAGGTCATTACTGAATTAGATGGAGCAACCCTGAAGATCCTCAGGGTTGCCATCCTCAGAAGCGAGGTATTTGTTACTCACGGTCACTGCAGCTGTTTATTTTTGGAAAGCCATTAGTTCCACATTGTTCGTAAGAAAGAACAGTTTCAAGTGCCTAGCAAAAAAAAATCTGAAGTTTCTATTACTGCCTGTGAGTGTTTATACACAACTCTTCTAAAGAATTTTATTTCTACCATAAAATAATACTTCATTATCTTCTGTCTTAGCTTATTTTAGCTTTTCAGCTGATTATTAACTAACATCCTACTGTCAGCTGACTTGTGAGCATCATTTTTACCATCTGATGTTAAAGCCATGGCATATACATGTAGGAGTCTGGTATAAATAAACACAAGCAGTAGTGTAGTGTTTAGTAAGGAAATAACTTAGTAGGTGGTTAGGCCAGCCTCTGGGTGGACAAGAGTCTGAATAACTACTTTATTCCTGCTGGCATTGGCAATTCAGATGCATCTTCATTTTGTGTGATGTTGAGGAAGAAGGCTGAATTTGGGACGTTGTTTTTATTCCATCTATCCAATTGGCTAAGCCAAAACACTTACTGCACCACAGTACAAGATTCATTTGGCTTCTCACTTATATCATATTGCCTGCCAGCCTTACACTTTAAGTTTTTGTTAGAATACACAGGTTATTTTTCATCTCTCCTTCAGCAGCTCAAATTCATGTTGGTGCCAGTTCTTCATTGCCCTTTCTGCATCTTTTTTCTTCAGTTTCTTCAGTTTTTCTTCATTTTTTCTTATTTTCGCTTACATTATCTGTTGCTTCATGCAGAAGAGGGTATCTTCTCTAAATATTAAATGTACAGTAGAACATAAAGAATAAAGAAATCCCCAAACTAATCCTTCTGTGTAGTGCTACTTTACAACTTCATTTCCTTTCAGTTTTAGCAGCCTACCAACATTAGGATTACTTTCTCCAGATAACTCTTCTTTTCCCCAGTGTGGGTTAAATGCCTGTGCTGGGAAAAAAAAAGATTAAAAAAAAAAAGCATTCTTAAGGGAATTTAAAGTGTAAGCCTTTATGTTCTATATTATATTTACTAGAAATTCTGGGTGCATGAAGATAGTTAATCGGAATGTGCTAGGAGAGGATAGTAGAGTGCCAAACCCCACCAGTCCCAGTTGTGCCTGGGAAGGTGCCATTGAGTGGCTCCAGCTGCATCCTGGGACTAGAGCAAACCCAAATCAGCTGAATTAGTTTTCTGTTATTTTGGAGATTCATGGAGATTAAGACAAAAATAAAACTGCCACTGCTGGTTTGCTCCAATTTCCTTCTTTTTACCAGGTAAAAGATGAGAATTTTTAAAATAGTATTGGACCTATGATTTATTCTGTTGTTTTTATTTCAGTTTTTGGTGCCCTAGTTAATGGAAATGGAATGTGGCTTGGAGGCTTCATTTGAGGAAAAATAAGTTAATTGCACTTGAACATTCTCTGAAGACAGGAAAATATAAAAAGAGGCCATGCTGAGCATCTGCTTTAATAATTCCATGGACAGCAGCAGAAGAGGAAGGGTTACAGCAAACTTGGAAGGCAACCAGAGCATCTTTTATGTTCTTCTATTGTCTATTTTCTTTATTTTACATAGGACCTGTCATGAAGATCTTTCTACTTTATTTCTTGGGAAAGTAATTATACTTCTCCTTTAATCAGACAACTACTTGGTGTCTCATACGACTGTCTTCCCCCTCCCCCGTTCTCCCCCCAAAAATATGGAGATATGTTTATCCTTACAGGTTGATTTCTGATGATTTTTGAAAGATGTGATCATTTCTGTTTATCTTTCCTAGAAATACTAGGCCTTCAGTTAGGACTGTTTAAACAGTTACTATTATTTTGGATGGGAAGAAGAAAATAGGTGGATCACTAAGTATTGTCTATTTGCTTTTGTGATGTTCAATCTTGTTCTAAATGCTTTGTCATTACGTTTACTAGATAAAGTCACCTCCGTATTTCAGCACAAGAATTTGCTGCTTGTACTCTGTTGTGTCAGGATTTGTGTATATAATACCTTTCTCAAAGCTTACAGTCACCAGAAATCACAAATAGATTTAAAAGTGTGTATCTCTGGAAGATGCAGACATGGAAATGCTTTTTCTCACTGAAAGGCATCTGAAGGGTGTACATGAACTCTAAAGAGATCATTCCTTTAGCACTCTTCACTGATTTTCTATTATTCAAAAGTAACTTAGAATTGGAAATAAGAAATTACTCTAGTGTTGGAGCTGATTTATTCCATACGTTGCTGTAAAATCAAACTAACTTCTCAACTTAAAGCTATGTTTTCCAATCAAATATCTTTTTCTCCTGTACACTGAAATCTCTTCAAACACTATAATTTGCAGGTTTAAGGAGCCATGTTGGGCCCCCTCTGAATGCTGCAGTTAGTGGGTTCTCATAAGTATTCCTGTAAAGTATATTAAGGACTGTCATAGGTCAGCAATAGTAGCTGATAAGTATTCTAAATTCATTAAGTTGATTTGCACTGTTTTGCACAGTTACAGTAAAGTGACAAATTCATGTATCATCGGATGACTTGATAAACCAGTGAGAGCTTGTCTCCAGCACCAGAGACCTTCCAGCGTTTGTCTCCAGCTTCTCCAACATATCAAACAGCTCAAGGTCAGTTCCTTATGGCAGTGCCTATCTGTAACTGCTGGCACACAGCTGCTGGTGCGCTGGCTGGCCGTGGGCTCTGCCATTGAGCTCATGTGTGTCTACCCAAACTTGGCCTTCTTGTGGGGTGCTCGTGCCTGCACAGGTGGACGCTCAGGTGCTTGGCTGAATCAAGGCTATGAGAGCAGCTTCCTGCCTCTTCACAGTGAGGAATGGCCTAGGTACAACCCCATGCTCTAGAGCTGCCTTCTCCAATGGGACATCATACAGAGTTCTTAGTTTCACAACTGGAGTTGGTACTCTCTTCAATGTAGATTTCATTGCAGACATGGTTTACATTTACAGTGGGTGTAGAGAAATCAGGAGATATAATAACATTTGAGGTTTCTGAGGTACGTGTTAGCTATGAAGTCGTTTTCTATACCTCCCAGTTTCATAAACATGAAAAGAGATCGCTGTTCGTTTCCCCAGACACTCTAATTTGGGGCAGCAGCACTGAGGGTATGTCCGGCAGATATTTTGGAAGAAGGTAGCTCTTTTTCATTGTATTTGGGCTTTGAAATGCTGTCCTTGTAACTCATTCAGAGAACTTGTACTGAAAGCAAAAGAAAGTTTTGTGCAGGAGGTTATTTTCCAGCATGAAAAATGTCGATGTGGGCTTGGTGCTGAAGCTGCAGCCACAGAGCTGCAATGAACTCAGTTCAAATTTACTGATGGCAAACAACTTTTACATGGCTCTTCAGCAGTGTTTAGGACTTTCCATTTACCTATCTAAATTTCTTTCAGACTGGCAAAGACCAGCCAGCATATTCTATCTGCCCACGCGGAGGATTTTTTTTTTTTTTTGGCATTGGTACAACATTCAAAAAGCTTTTTTATACTTTCAATCGAGTTTCCAAGGCTTTTGTTACCTACAGTGAACACTTCATTTAGTAAGTTAACATGTACAGTGCAAAGTATCTGATTCTCATTGTGCTGGCTCTCAGCAGAATAGCTTTTCCTAACTGATGTAGTAATTTACTAATATTAATACTGTGACTTGTTTACAATTACATCCCTCACCAGTTTTTTAATTATTAGTACTAATAGTGAAGATTGTATTTTATTGTCAGTTTGGTTTTGCTTTGTAGTACCAATTAAGAAAACAATGATGATGTTTCCCTCCATGGTGCCTAGGCTGGCGTTCCACCAAAACTGCTCAAAAGGGGCTTCTGTGGTTGTGCCCCTTATGTGGAAAGAGCAGTTGTGCTCAGCTGGCTGAGAGGGCTGATGGCTTCTGTGCCACTCTGGTGGAGGCCAGCTCTATAGCTTCTCAAAAGCTATTCTCTTGTTTTATTAGAAAAGTAATTGTTCTCCTACCTCAGGACTGCTGGAAGGCTGAGCTGTGGGAAAGGGAAAGGGAAAGGAAAGCTTTCCTGGTATTCTGGACCAGTGGGGTTTTCTGGATGTTTTAGCATGTGTCTGGGCACTTGGAAAAGTTAGAGCAGATGGTAATGCGCAAACTGTTGATAACTTCATTCATTCCCTGAGGGATGTTGTCATTAAGCTGGAGCTGACCACCCACTGCCTTGGAGCTCTTAGCATTCAAACATGGGTGGAAACAAAGGAGGTTACCTTCAGATCCAGAAGGCCAGACACTTTTTTTACTGAACAGAAGAGGAAACACAGGAATTGCTTCTAATGTTGTGTTTCAAAACCTTCCTACTGCTCTGGGATCTTTCTTCTAACTGTTTCTCAATTACTTAGGGCCAGTTGGCAATTTTTAAGAGCTTCACCACAATGCAGCGAATTACATAGCTATAAGATTTGACATAAAGATAACATTAAAAAAGCAAATATAAATAATCCTTATTTTTGTTCCATGCAAAAGTAGATGAAAATATACACTGTAGTATGTTTGGTCAAGCATACAAAGCAAGACTAATTGTGGTTATAATACAATATGTGACTACGGCTGTTGGTAGGTTCACCACCGTAATGCATTTCTTATTATTTTAACACATGTAAGTATGTGAGTGTGCAGCTCCCCAGGGATGAGCTACAAGCTTGCCATAAGTTAGTTATCTGTTGTGTCTGTGCATGCACACACAGCCCTCTGCCATGCCAAACAGCCTGCTTATCCGTAAGGTGCTGTCAGATGAAAACTGAACAGCTGTGATTATCCATCTTGTGGGTTGTACCATGAATTTTTCCTTATAGGTAGCTTTTCTTTTTGAATTCACTAAATTAACTGCAGTTTAACAAAAACACAATAATTATGAAAATTGGAAGGCAAAAAACAATACCAAAACATTATGTGCTGCAAGAAGTGCCCTGCACCATCATCACTACAGATTAATTTCTACTGTTGTTGCTTACACAAGCTGTTGTGGAGATAAAGATGAATGTACATTAGGTTATAATTGCTCCCATATCCGCAGGAATCGTACTCTTAGCTTCTTCTCCTTGTTCTCCTGCTCCTGGAAGGTGAGGGCCATCATTCCCACACGTGATAATACATCTGCTTTGCAGGACATGGTTGAAATCCTTGAAGAGGGCCCTGTGATGAACCTGTTAGAAATTCTGCACTACCACAAGGAGAGAACAAATGTAACATGATCACTAAGAGATACATATATCAAAGGATTATCTGGGCTTTCATCAGCACTTTAGCCCACTCAGGGCTGAGAGGCAAAACTGAGTCATGCAGGGCTAATGCAATTAGCACACCTGTTGGCAGTGATAAGCATTGCACGTTTGGTCACCAAAATTTCATGAGGTTTCCAGCAATGCTGTGAAATTTATGGCCTATATCTCTTCTGACAGCATACATTGTGTCTTCATCTGACATGGACTTTCCATTTCTGATTTTTTCAGCTAGTGGAAAGCTAAAGATCATAGTCTACAGTCTACTAGATCAAGACAGAGGAGCCGCTCTCCTCTCACTACGAGATCAGCTTGCCTGCCATTTCGTAGAATCATAGAATGGTTTGGGTTGGAAGGCACCTTTAAGATCATCTAGTTCCAGCCACTTGCTATAGAAGGGACACTTCCCTCTAGACCAGGTTGCTCAAAGCCCCAGCCTAGGCTTGAATGCTTCCAGAGAAGGGGCATCCACACCCTCACTGAGCAGCCTGTTCCGGTGTCTCACCATTCTCACAGTAAAGAATTTCTTCCTAATAGCTAGTCTAAATCTACATCTTCCAGTTTAAAAGCTTTCTCTCATCCTGTCACTACGTGCCCTTATAAAAAGTCCCTCCCCAGCTTTCCTGCAGTCCCCCCTCAGGTACTGGAAGGCTGCTATAAGGTCCTCCAGAGCCTTCTCTTCTTCAGACTGAAGAGCCCCATTTCCCTCAGCCTGTCCTTGTAGGGGAGGTGCTCCATCCCTCTGATCATCTTCATGCCCCTCCTCTTTTATTTATTTACTTTTTAACATTTACAAAGCCTGAGTTAACCATGTAGAATAATTAGCTTGCAGAATGCAGTGCCTCTGAAGGAGAACAAAGCAGGATGTATTTCTGACAGGTCCTTTTTGTGTCTCCAGCATATAGCAGGTCTGGAGTGACAGAGAAGAGGCAGTGAAGGGTGCTCTTTCTTCAATATTGCTTAAAAATAAGAGGCAGGCAGATAACTACTTTTCATTTTTTTCCAGAAGAGATAACAAAACAGAAAGATAGCAGTTTCTAAACTTATTTCTCTCATTTTTCACAGTAAATCTATGTTTGAATTGAGCACAGAAAGAAATATCTTGCTTGAGGTGATTGTTCATACAGCAGAGCAATGGCAAGTAAACGAGTTTGGTATTATGCTGTTATTTCTTTGCTCTGACACGTTCAGGGGTAAACTAAGCATCATTAGATGTAAACTAAGCCACATCCATAAGAAGTGCCTGAATTTAAGATTCAGGTGACTACAAACACAAATTCAGCACCAGAAATTAACCAAATGCTCCCAGTATTTCCATCTCACTCTGCTCCCCATTCACAGCCCTGCATTGAGTGCAATCGATCACAACATTTCACTGCTACAGTCTTTGAAGAAGCAGCCTACAGTAGCAGGAATATAAATTTGGTCATAAGGTAGAATTCTTCATCTTGTTAGAAGGTGGCTTGTTTTTCTGCTTGCAAAGGGAAAGAGGTGCTTTTGGGGTGAAATAAGTGTTGTTTTACAGGAGGCTGCTAACACAGGCTAGATGGATCCCATTCCTGTGCCTGCTGCTCTCCATTTTAAAAGAGGACCCAAAATGAGTAGCTCTGATGTAGACATCAGCTGTGCAGCTATCCAAGCTCAGGTGAGATAAATGATACCCTTAATGTAATAAAACAAGCAATGCCATCCCCCATTTCTTCATCTGCACGTCCCTTCCTTACCTGTTGCTTTTCATTTTTTCAGTCTTCCCACTGTTTCCATCCATAGAAAAGCAAAGTGCTTCCTGCAGAGACCAGCACAGTCTCCTGCCTCTCGGTGATCTGGGGAACGCGTGCTCAGATGGCCATTTCAGAAGTGACAGGACTTGGCAAACACTTTGTTTCTTCAGCAGTACTGTAGGCTGACCTTATCTGGACTCCCTACCAGCTGTGGGGGCAGTAACCTCAGATGCACCAAACAGCCAAAGCTGGTACAGTGCTGCAGCACCTGTCCAAACAGAGTTTTTCTGCCAGTTGTTCCTGGTTCTGTTCTGGTCCTCCTTTTACCTGTAAATGAGCCCTTATACATGAACCAATGCATTCACAAACACAGGGCCATGGTTAGTGGGCACAGTGATGATGGATCAATGGTTAGACTAGATGATTGTGATGGTCTTTTCCAACATCAGTGATTCTGTAGATCCTGTGGAGACTAGAAGGTATGCACTGCACCTTCATCACCACTTTGCACATCTGAAATCCATTTTACCTCTTTGTAGAATGTTTATGTTGTCAGTGCCGGAGAAACATAAACCCTAAACTATTAGAAAACTAATTTGGTTGCAGTCTGTACCCACTCAGGTAGGGGGGAAAAATAAAGAAACTACGGTCAAGTGATGAAAGAGAGAGTCAAAATAAGGTATTTAAATTGCTATTTATTGCAAATTAATATTAAAAGCAGATCCAAAAATTCTGTTGTGTGCAGCAACAGTCAACTCTAATTCTTTCAGCTGATCTCTCCTTCCCTGTATTTTTGTTTAGTAAGTAACCCGTCAGCTCTGATCAGGAGTGGGATTTGTTAGTGCTGAGGCAACAAACAGCCCCACAGCTAGCAGCCCTATGGGGAGAGGAGTGGCAAGCTGCCAGAGCCTAGCACTCTCTGGCCAGGCCTTTTCAGATAGTCCACACGTGGAGGGCTTAATGTTTCAATACTCATTTTACCTGCTTGAAGGTATTTGATGAAGCAGAGGATCTTCACGTAGCAGATAAACTTACTGTAATCACAACTCAGTATAGCAATTGCAGTACGGATGAGTGACAGTAAAAACATGATTCCCATTACTGACCTCTATGCACTCGTTGTCAGGATGTCAGGCATCCTAATTGCCAGGAAGGAGCAAGTTGCTTGAAGCCAGCTCAAGCCTGTTGCTTTTTTCCGAGCTAATTTTGCAGATTGCTTGGCTTTTGCACTCAGTGTTGGGCTGAACCACGTAGCCACTTGGCCCATGCTGGTCTGGCTGTCACATAGACATTCATGTTCTTCTGGTGAACTCAAGTGAGGTTATTCACAGCCCTTGAATAACTCAACTGACAGAGATACTTATCTACACAGAAAAAACAAGCCACCTTCCAGTCCCCATGGTGCTAAGTTTGTCTTCCTTTACAATAGATGTGGTCACTCCCTATAATTTACACAAGGAAAAGCACATTTTCCTTGCCCATATCCTGAAGATTCTCCATTGTAGAGGTTTGTTGGCCATTCACATAAACCTGACATAGTGCAGAGAAACACTTTAGAGGGCAGATAATTTGAGTTCTTCAGACAGATGACAAGATTAGGAAAACATGAGATAAAAACTCTTTTATCTGTCAAGCTGTGCAGTTGGTCTTTGGTACAAAGACGGGGAACAGCTATGCAGTTCTACCAGGCAAAGTGAGAAAATTAGGAGGAAACAAACAACATAAAATAAATAAATAAATAAATAGTAAATATTTCAAAAACAAAACCATTTCTTCCATAATATAAGGAACATTCATAGAATGGTTTGGGTTGAAAGGGACCTCAAAGCCCACCTATCCCAACCCCTGCCATGGGCAGGGCTGCCCCCCACCAGCTCAGGCTGCTCAGGGCCCCATCCAACCTGGCCTTGAGCGCCTTCAGAGATGGGGCACCACAGCTTCTCTGAGCAGCTGTACCAGTGCCTCACTGCCCACTGAGGAAAGATTTTTCTCCTTGTATTTAATCCAAATCTACTATTTTTTAACTTAAAGTCATTACTCCTTGTTGCTACATTCTCTGAAGAGAGTCCCTCCCCAGCTTTCCTGTAGGCTCCTTGCTCTTCTTTTTGAGAGGTGTGTTTTTAATAAGAAGTTAAGCACAAAGTCTTGACGTCAAAAAGAAAAAGAAATACATCAGGGAGATGTAACATTAAAAGTATGATGAGCTTTGAGGTAGCTGAATTCATATGTGAATCACAGACTTGGGCGCGTTAACCATCTCTTGTGAAAGGTCCTATATTGGCCCTTTCTCTCTGACACCACCACAATGATGACTCTGGTCACTGAAGAAACGGAACCTCTACCTCTCTACTCCCAGAATTTGGGAAAACAATGAAAAGAGAGAATTTTAAATGCACTTGCATGAAGTGTTCAGCATGTTATTTGCTGTTATGACTGAAGAGTTAGGATTATGTTTTTCGTATACCTTTAGATGTACATTTGTTGAAAACTTTGTGTGTGTGTGTTTGTGTGCGTGCGTGTTGTCATATAAAACAGGAGACAATAAGTTATTTCCTTGGGGTAAGACACAGGTCCCTGGATAGAGAACTTCTTTCAAAGTGGTTTCTCTCACTGAACAAATTTGATGTCAGCAGAATTTGTGAACCAGAGAAAGAGCAACACAGTTATCTTTCACTTCCAGCTTTAATGAACAGCTTTGGAAACCACTAGGAAACATTTATATTCCCCACATTCACTGCTGCAATAAACCCAGTTTCATTTTCAAAGCCAGGCAACAGCATGTGGGAATTTCACACCCTTGGTGATTTTTATTGTTCATGAAAACATCTGTATTTCCTCCTTTGGTGGTTAGGTAATTTCTGTCACAACCAGAATACACTTAAATAGCTTAGCCATATTTAATGTAATGTTGTGCTATTACTCTGTGGTCAATGTTATCATTATGCCTCTTTCCCAAGTTTTATTTGCAGTGCTCTTCCTGAGGTACTGTATCTTCTGATGTGCATTTTCACTGCTTTGTTACCAGCAGCCCCCTGGGGCTGCCAGACCCACAGCCTGGCAGAGATGAGGTGCAGTGCTTCCATGCCCCAGATCTGCCCATGAAAGGCTCAGACACTCTGCAGCAGGAGGCCAGGACAGCTGCACATTTGCCTAGAAGTTCAGTCAGTGTTTCTGCATCCTTTCTGATGGGTGCAGGCACCCTGGCTCTCAGGTCAAGAGACCTAGACAGGCTTGAGCCGTGGGCCCAGGTAAACCTCATGAGGTTCAGCAAATCTAAGTGTGGTCTTGCACCTGGATTGTGGCAATCCCCACTATAAGTTGGGGGATGTAAAGATGGAGCACAGACCTGTCAAAAAGAACCTAAGAGTGCTGGTGGAAGGCAAGCTGGACACGAACCAGCAGTGAGCCCTCTGTACTCTGAGCTGCGTCCAAAGAAGCATGGCCAGGAGGTAAGGGAGGTGATCCTGCCCCTCTACTCTGTACTAGTGAGGCATCACCTGGATTACTACATCCAGATGCGGAGTCCTCAGTACAGGAGAGACATGGACCTGTTGGAGTGCATCCAGATGACGGCCACAAAAATGATCAAAGGGATGGAACAACTCTTGTATGAGGACAGGCTGAAAGAACTGGGGCTGTTCAGCCTGGAGTAGGCTCTGGAGAGACCTGAGAGCCGCTATTCAGTATTAAAAGGGGGCTATAAGAAGAAAGGGGACAGACTATTTATGAGGGTCTGCGGTGACAGGGCAAGGAAAAATGGTTTCAAACTAAAAGAAAAGAGATTGAGATTAGATATAAGGAAAAGGTTGTTTTTATAACGGTAAGGGTGGTGAGGCACTGGCACAGGTTTCCCAAAGAGGTGGTAGAAGCCCTTACCCTGGAGACATTCAAGGCCAGGCTGGAGGGAGCTCCGGGCAGCCTGATGTAGCTGTAGGTGTCCCTGTTCACTGCAAGGGGACTTGGACCAGTAATCTTTAAGGGTCTCTTCCAACTCAAACAATTCTGTACCATGATTCTCAATTCTTTATTGAAAACATGCAGCTGGTGTTTGAAACAACCTCACAAAAACAGAATTCCTACTAAGGATTTATTAGAAAAAAAGTAATAGATACTGTAAAGAATCTTAAATGCCAGAAGTTTGCACCACATTCTCACTGATTGAAGAATGGAATCTTTCAAACCAAGGAACTCACTAGCCACCTAAGAAGGATACAGTCAAAAAAAAAGCACAGTGATGCTGCTAAACTACTCTGCTTTTCTAAGGGATTTAATTGGGAGAGGGAACCACACATGACCTAGATGAGAAGATAGATGCTCATCCAGATAGATGCTTATGCACAAAACTACAAGCTGCCTCAAGCATTACCACCGATGGAATAATGTCACAAGCATAACATTTCAATGGTGAAGAGTATTCTTCATGACAAATCCTGTATGCGTGCAGCTGTTAAGTGCTCAAATGCAGAGTTAGCAGATAAGGGCAACAGAAGTTCACAGTTAATCTAGCTGGACTGTTTCTCTTCCCAATCTGCTTCAGTTACAGAAGTATTGCTCACAAGGTGATCATTTGCACTAAGAAGTGTTACAGACTTGAAAAGTGGAAATTTGGAAGATTTTCGAAATCCAGAAAACAAGATCAGTCAAGGAACCATCAAATACCTGGGGAAACTGCTTCGTCAAAGGATATATTTCAGCTTGGAGTAGAACTAGAGGGCAGTGAGTCAGGAAAACATGATGGAACACTGCTATGAACATAGCATCATGTTTGGTAAGCTCATTATTGCTACAATATAACATAAAAAGGTTCTTGTTATCAGTCTCTTGAAAAATCTGATGGTTGTCTGTTTTAATACTGTAAATTAATGCATGAACAAATAGATGATGACATTGTGCAGGCAGATTACACAGAATTCTATTTAATCAAATTGCGACAAGATCATTAGTTTGTTTTTTAAAATACACATTATTTTATGTATTTAATGTCAGTTCTACAAGATAAGCAAATTTTGTTTGGCAGCTAGTGTTGTACCTACGATGCCAATTCTTACCAGTAGCATTGATCTGAGCTCTTTACAAAGGCTACAGCACAGCCAGTCAGTCTGCTTCTCAAATAGTTTCACTTAAGTAATGGAAAAGCCTGAAGCAAGTTTCAAAAACATACTTATAAGGATTTGCCTTGTGGGTTTGTAACTTATTTTTCTTGATCGTTCTGTGTGGTACAACAGTGACCTGAGGTATCAGTAACTGCAAAGAGTATCAGTGTACACTTATAGAATCACAGAACAGCCAGGGTTGGAAGGGACCTCAAGGATCATTAAACTCCAACCCCTCAACACATGCAGGGCCACCAACCTCCCCATTTAATACCAGACCAGGCTGCCCAGGGCCTCATCCAACCTGGGGCATCCTCCAAGGACGGGGCATCCACAACCTCTCTGGGCAGCCTGTTCCAGCACCTCACCACTCTCTCTGTAAAGGACTTCCCCCTGACATCCAATCTAAATCTTCCCTCCTTCAACTTCAAACCATTTCCCCTTGTCCTGCCATTATCTACCCTTTCAAAGAGTTGACTCCCTTCCTGTCTGTAGGCTCCCTTTAGGTACTGAAAGCCTGCAATGAGGACACCCCACAGCCTTCTTTTCTCCAGGCTGAACAAGCCCAGCTCCTCAGCCTGTCTTCATAGAGGAGGTGCTCTAGCCCCCTGATCATCTTTGTGGCTCTCCTCTGGACCCTCTCCAACAGCTCCCAGTCTTTCTTGTACTGGGGGCTCCACACCTGGACGCAGCGCTGTAGATGGGGCCTCACACGAGCAGAGTAGATGGGGACAATCACCTCCCTGTCCCTACTGGCCACCCCTCTTCTGATGGAGCCTAGGATGCCATTTGCTTTCTGAGCTGCAAGAGCGCACTGCTGGCTCATGTTCAGTTTTTCATCCATCAGGACCCCCAGGTCCTTCTCCACAGGGCTCCTCTCAAGGACTGCTCCTTCCAGTCTGTATGGATGCCTGGGATTCCTCTGGCCCAAGTGCAAAACCTTGCACTTTGCCGTGTTGAACCTCATCAGGTTCACCTGGGCTCACCATTCCAGCCTGTTGAGGTAACTTATTACCAACGCACAATAGCTTTGAGTTTTCAGTTTGTAAAAGTTCATGATCAGCAACAGAATCATGGTCATATTCCATTATTGGTCATAATAAAAAAGAAAAAAGGAAAGAACAAGAATATCCATTTGGCTTAAGAACAACTGGAGCAGCGACTAAACCAATCAGTAAGGCCTCCATGCCTGTGGTGACAAAAGATGACCGATGCCTTTCACTGAACAGCTGCTCATCCTGATGAAAGCAAAGTCTATACAGACATCTATTTAGAGGAAAGAACTCACAAATCATCATAAAGATACATCATAAAGACTTTGCTTACTCTAAAGCTATGCATCTGTCTCAAGTTTGAGTGTTATCCCCTGCATGCAGGATGGGTTAGAGGGCTACAAACCCATGGATCCAGACCTCAGGCAGAGTCGCTCTCATTAGCAGTGAGGCACTCTCCCAAGCACACTGTACATTTACATTACTGCCAAAGGTAACTTCAGCTTTGCTAAGAATGAATTGAATGGACTCATAATTAGAGAAGAAAATTTAAGGGGAGGTATATTCCCTAATATTCCCTAATACCAGCAATTTGCAAGGCTGGTTCAGGACACTTCAGAACAAATCAGTAAATGAGGCCATGAAAGCTTATGATGAACATTCCCCAGGCT